GGAAAATTCCATATTTGAGCTAAGGAAGGATACATATACACAAATTTAATACATGAAAATTGAGATCTAAAAAAAAAAAAAGAATATGAAAAGGAAAAGCGTATGAAACTGAAGTAACTGAGCTGTAAAGCCTTGATATTTGCAAAGGAATACAATTTTTCTTGCTTCCTACTAACAATTACAGACACATTCATTTACTCTCAAATCTCAACATTTCAAACTTTGAAACAATTGTTGGGTTTGGGTCATCTTCTTCTTCTGGTCTTAATAATGGAGTTTTAATTTTTCGGCACTATATAATGGGTTTGGCATAACCCTAACAAAATAGAGTCAACTCGGTGTTTATGCAGTCCTTTTCTTGTACAGCAAAACTTCACCTAATGCCCCAATGCAGCAGCAACTGAAACCTGTCGTATTATTCATTGTAGGGTCACTTTGAACTACAAGGCACTAGAACAATGGGAAAAAAAAGTGTGGAATTTGGATGCTTTGGAAGTGAATTTTTTCTCGAAGTTTACATAGTACCTGTCTTGTTGATATGAACTTATGCCCATGTTCTCGTTTTCATTGCATCTCAAATGACTCTTCCTCGTGTAACTTTTAACCAAACAACCACTCCTTATCATTTCATTTGAACTATACAATGACTTAAGATTCATGGGTTGGTCTTTAAGGCTATACTTAACTTTGTTTTGTTGGAAGGATCATCCAGTTATTTTCACTTGACTAATTAAAAACTATATGAAACCGTGGTTAAAAAGAGATGAATTTTGAAGAATCATGAAACTGGGAAATGGGATGGTTACTTTTCATTATATAATATCTTTAAAGAAAAAAACAGGATATAACGCTGGCACTTTCCAAAGGGAAGAGATGAGATTTTCTGGAAAAAGTTCAATTTTCCCAGGAAAATTCATAATCCAATCACCAGGGAGAGTGGAAATTATCTGGCTACGTCCATTTTGAGAAATTCCCACACAAACTTCCAACTTTGAACAGTTCCATATTGGCCCGCCATTGAAAGAATATCTTTAGATTTCCAGGAATGAGATAAGACAATATCAAGGAGGGAAAACTTGGAAAGTAACCTCTAGATAAATGACAAAGCAATACAGGCCCATAGGAATCAATTATTTTAATTCGATCTTAACGTCGTTTTCTTTGCCATCAATTTGGCTCGGTATGCTTTGGATAACATTATCTATTTTGCCAATGGTCCTTTGTGATTTATTGATAAAGTGTTCAATACCTAATTTCAATGATTAGAATTCAAACTCATGAAATAAAAAAATATATAGCTATTGACAAAGTGAATAGATTTATCATTTTTTCAAATCTTTTTACGGATTCAAAATCATAGTTTAACGTGTATACTTCTGTTCTAGTTATGAAATAGATGAAATAAATCAAAAAATAAAATTTTCAATGTTGAAATTTTATTGGAACTGCCAAATTTATTCTTTGAAATCATATCACATTTCGGATATGATGAAATAAGATGAACTGAGATGATATTTTGTAAATACATAATTATTTTTTTTATTTTTTTTTTTCCAATCGCTGGAAAAGGACAAAAGAAACATCTTATTTTTTATTCAACAATTTTTAATCTCTAGTGGATCTCTCAGTAAGATTCGAACCCGATAAAATTCTGACTATTCAGGAATGCACACAGATCCATCAAAGAAAACTACATTTTGGCTTCAAATTAAAAACCATCAATGCTTCCAAGCGTATGCACGATGTAAGCCTTGAAGATGAGAAATACTAGGTATCAATTTGGCTGTTGGACGTAAAACCAAGTTCATTCGAAGTGTTTGGAGAAAAGGTAAAATCTCAACTACAGTAATAACATTGAATGCTTGGCTCTTCATATTTTTGCAGTTTTGTCTACACTAAAATATATTCATTGTTGCTGTCGTTGATTGAATTTTGCTAAGTAGAATTTTTACACAAAAAATGCAATCACCTACCAGTGGCATCATAAATTTCATTTCATCTCACTCTTTAGCACAACAGAATCAAATTGTCTGATTATATTATTCAATTATTGTAACAAAATCCAGTATTCAACTGATAAGTTTTGAATCACCTTATGCATGGATTCAGCTGCATTTTCATTTGCAGCAAAAACAAGAGGGAAAGAAGGAAAAAGGATTAACAACCTATGAGATGGACATTAGCAATTCAAGGCCTGAAAATGTGGACGGTTTGATTAAAATCACCAAAAACAAGTCAAGTGAAACTTGGAAGCCTGAACTTTGCTCTACTGCCAATCATTTCAATGTATAAATTTTTGTGATGAACTAAATGTCAGCTACAGCCTGAGAACTGGAACTTGATCGAGAAAATGCATCAGCTTTTCCTGAAAAGAGTTCAGAAGTTTCTCCAGCTGATTGATTCCGCCTCAAACTGAAAACACCATTCTCGTTAAGAATGTTCTTCTGCTGACCTCTCCCTCGGTTACCAAACTTTTGCTACCAAATCTCCCTGATTTTGATTCAGGCTTTTCAAGCACACCAGCCTCTCCCCAACCTTCAGACTCTCCATCAATGCCAGTCATGCCTAAAAGTTCCATCAAGTTGCTTCTGAAGCCCAAATCTGAATAAACTCTGCGTGAGTCCCTCATGGTTTACCTGCCAAATTTACCATCCATGGCATCCAAATTCTCCTGGCTATTTCTAAATTCAACAGGACGCCCCACTGTTTCCACCACCAAACATGGATTGTTAAAACCATTCCATGAATGTAAAGGAACCAATTTGTTCAACCCGGTTAACCAACCAACCACCTCTTTCATTGCAGAGCGGCGCTCCCTGCAGGACCTCACACATTTTTCTGCTATGACAGACAACGGCTTCCTAACAATGGGGTCCTTAGCAGGTTCAATCCTTGGATCATAAACAGCAACAATCTTCCCTTTCTTTACAAAAGGAATTGCCCAATCCACAATAGAAGGTGGTGAATGTGCAACATCAAAGCTTTTCTACCACCTATAATCTCTAACAACAAGATCCCAAAACTAAAAACATCAGTTTTTGTACTCAAGTGATCAGAGGTCACACAACATGGATCAAGATACCCAATTGTACCAGCTGGTGGAGTTGATCTAAGCCTATAATCATCAACACCACAACTAAGAGCCAAGCCAAAATCACCCAATCTTGCATTGAAATTCCTATCAATCAACACATATGCAGATTTCACATCTCCATGAATAATTGGAGGTTTTTGTGAGTGAAGTGTCTGCAAGGCTTTTGCAACTTGCAAGGCTAATCGAATTCTTCGACCCCAATTCGAAGGCTTTGAAGAATTAGAGTGAAGAATATCATTTAATGTGCCATTACTCATAAATTCAACAATCAATAAACGATCTTTAGTGCCATTAGTCAATCCAAGAAGATTCACCAATCTGGGACTTTGAATCTTTGACAAGATTTCAATCTATTGTTATCAGCTTCCTGGTTGGTTTCTTGGTTTCTTGAAGACGGTTTCTTGATGGCAACATGGCGTCCCCTGAGAACAGCCTTGTAGACAGAGCCATGGCTACCTTTGCCTAGAAGCCTTTGGTCAGAGAATCCATTGGTGGCTGCTTCGAGGTCACAGTAATCAAACTGTTGAATCTTGATGGGTTTTTCCTGCTTGTAGTTGGCAGTTTTGGAAGATGAATCCTGTGTGCTTGTGGTGGTGGAGATTATGGAGACTGCTGATTCTGCTTTGCAATAAAGGTAACCCATAAAAAAAAAAGAAGTTCTTTGCTTTTTCTTTGGGTCTTGAAGGGAGTTTACAAGACATATGGAGCAAAGAGTCAAGCTTTTTATCATTTCATTGCATTGCTTTGCTGCCCATACACGAAGAAAGCCAAACTAAAGAGCATCAAACTGTGAAAGAGCATCAACACCGTCCTTTTATGTCATTCTATAATTAAAGAAAGCCAGGATTTGAAAGCCTTTGCTGTATTCGTATTGTAACATAGAATTCTGTCTTGTCTTATTAATGTCTGACTTCCAGACAACGAGAAAGTAAAAAACAAAAGAAAACGCCTTGAGCCGGAACTAAAGATCCAATAGTAGTAACTTAGACCTTAACTGGAGTCCATAAGCCCTACTTTAAATGGACCGCCATCTTAAATGAAAGCTTTTACATTTCTTGAATTTTGCCTATGCCAGAAATGCATAGCACCTGAGGGAGTTTGCTTCATTCCTTATTAGAATTAGAATGGTGTGAATCTCATCTGCAAGCAGACCCTTTACAGCATAGTTTAAAGGACCTGCGGTTGGATTTTCCAGAAGATGAAATTTCTTTTTATGACCACTTTGATGATGGGTTTTCTTTACTGTGACCATTTTGATGTGATTTTGGAGGTTGGTGTTGCTGGATCTTGATGGGACAGGCAAGCAACAGCCACAAAAATGTGGGAGAGAAATATGTGCAGTCAAAGGTACCTTTGGTAGTAGGAAAATAAGTCTTTTGGGTACCTTTGAGAACCATTCTGCCAATGGCTGCCAGGTTAACCATACCTTGATGAAACTGTTGATTTCACCCTCCATTTTGCTTGCATATATTTGCATTTATAACTCCCTGGAAGCCATTAGAAATCTAAAAAAACAAAAAATGAATGTTTTCTTGAGGATTAGCTTTGCACAAAAGCACGAAATGAATAATGTTTTGATGACATAATTATGTGCTTTGAACAAGTAAGAAACTTCAGACTAAAATAAAAGTGACAGAATTCATTTTTATATGTTCTTGTTTATGCTTTTGCTTCTGCTGGTTTATGTTCAAACCATGTTACGTACATACAAATGCCGTAAAAGAGAACGGGTCTTGATTGCTGGCTTTAGATTCTTAGTCTGTAATATTAGTTTATATAACTCTGTTACTCAAGCGTCCTTGACCCAGAGTTTTGGCCGTTTGAAAGGCGTACGTACTCCTTCCATACTGTGGGACCGGGATCGATCCTACGTATTTGTATTGTTTATTTTATATCTAATACGTATTGCATTTGAACTCTCATATTAAAGATTGATAATTTATGAATAACTCTATAAATAAATGAAAAATGAAGAAGTGATCAATCTAACATGATTCTGAACATATCCAACGATTTAATATATCCTATCAGCTTAAAATTCAAAATTACCCTAAAAAATATCCCCGTGTAAAATACGAAAATAACCTATAGTAAATGCCCTGTGCTGGCCTTGTTTCAATTTAAACATTAGGTCGTGTTAACTCTTGACCCCTCTGTTTCTCTCTCCCACTAAATTTAATGGCATGAGCTGAAGCACCCAACAAATTCTACTCACTTTTTCTCTGTCGTTTCTTACATGAAAAATCAAACACAACATTAACTACTCTGTCTTCTTGTCTCTTCCAAAGCTTCCCCTCTGATGATTTCTTCATCAGGTCTCTTCGTTTTAAGCAACAGCCATTGATGCTTCATCAGAACTCTGCAACCCATAGACATTCTCTTTGTTCAACATTCAAACTCTAAGTACATACAAATGAGGTGTAAGAAACATGTTACTGACATCAGTAGCAGCGTCGGCGTCTGCGCCAGTTGTCTCCGGGAGAGACTTCTGGCGCTCGTCGCCGCTCAGGGTCAGGCACAGGTTCAAGCCCGACAGGCTCAATTAACTTTCCCTGGTGCTGAGGATCGTAGGAAAACTGACCCGCCTCCGCTTATTTTCCCTCGGTCCGTTTCTCCTTACGTCAGCCGACGGAAATCTGACGACAACAGTGCCACGTGGATCCACCACCAGGGATTCTACAGTACTCCTCAGGTGGCCCCCACGTACAGCACGACAACCACCACCGATTTTGAAGCCGCCAGATCTTTCAAAAAGAAAAACAGGTTCTCGGTTTTTTCGAACCTGTTCGGGTCGAGACCCGAGAAATTCAATTTGGATCTCGGGGTTCATGATCATCGGGACTCGTGCGAGGACCCATCATCGTCATCGTCATCCCCCTCTTGGTTCTCGACAATCTTTGCTGTTCGTCGGAAAAAGCAGCAATCTACGAGGACATCTCATGTAGAATTTCGCCAATTCGGCCCTGGCGATCGGAGATCATGTAGGATCATTGACCGGGGAATGTCACCGGCGATTGAAGCGAATTCGGGAGACGAGTGTGATCGATCGCCATCGGGAAGCTCACCGGAAGTTTCGCCGCAGTGGAAGATGACACCAACGGCGCCGAGGAGAGCGAGGACCGGGCCTAAAAACGTGTCGGCATTAGCGTTTTGCTTGAGCCCACTCGTCAGGGCTAGTCCGAACCGGCACTGGGACCAAAAGGGTGGACTGCCGTCTGACGTGTCGTTTACAGGCGAAAGTAGGTCGCCGATGAAGCCCCACCTAGCCACCGCTTCGGGATTTTGCGCGAATAGGTCCAGAAAGCTTGCTGATTTCGGCAGAGTCAATCATAACCGTTGAATACGGTTAACAGTTGACAATGGACGACAGTGATTGTGAAAATACTAAAGATATTTATCATCAAACTACGGTTTGGCCATTGCTTTTCTTCAGTTTTTTACTCTCTGTGATTCGTAAATTATTATTTTTTGTAAAATGACAAAAAAAATGATTAATTTTTCTTATTGTACAATTTATCACCTGACATCTAATCGAGTGAGTTGTCTATAGTATCTTTGTCTTATCCATTTTTGGACATTAATATTCTGTTTAATTCTTTTTATCTATTATTATTTTTTATAGTATTTATGTGCCTGTTTTAAGCTTTTATATTTCACAAAAACCTGAACGTGCTTTTAATGCACTTTGTTGGCATTGGTTGGGTTGAATTTTTATTTGTCTCATTTTATTTTACAATAATAAAATTAAATTTTTTTTATTTTTTATATTTAAATTCAATTCAAATTTGATATTGAATAAATTATATTCAACAATTCGAAATTAATAAAATATTTTTTAATATAAAATATTATTTTTTAAATATAAATATAATTAATTAATTAAAAATAATTTTTTTATATAATATTGAGTTAGGTCAAGTTTTAATTTTAGGTAAATCTGATTTTTTTTAATAATACTTGACTCAACTCGACTTAAAACTTGATTTAAAAAAAAAATCGACCTTATAAAATTGGATCGAGTCGAAATTCGGCGGTTTGGAGTTGAGCTGCTAACCTTATTTTCATCCTTTTTAGGTTGAGTGTAAATGAATAAAGCATTTTACAAATTATTTGTAAATATGTTTAATTTTTATTTATTTTTATTCATTTATTAAGTTTAAAAGAAAGATCTTAAATAATTTTTTTATATTTATTTATTAAATAAATTGAATATAAATAAAATTTTGTTTAATTTATTTATATTTGTCAATTAATTTATTTGAAATTTATTTAAATTTCGTTTAGTTATTCTTTATTTTTTATTTGTTTATTATTCATTTATAATAATATTAATAAAATTATATTTTTATCATTTATTTTAATCTTATTTTAAGGTTTACTTATATTTGTTAAGGTTCATTTATATATATTGAAAGTTTGATTGTTTAAATTTATTTGGTTATAATTTATTTATTATTTATTAATATGTTTATTTATATATATTCATGAATATATTCATTTAATGTTTACGAATAAATTTATTTAATTTAATTAAATGAACCTGAATTGAACACGAATAATTTAATATTTAAACGAATAAACATAAATAAATAGAATAATTTTTTTAATGAACATAAATCAAATACCAACACATTTAAAAATAAATAAATAAATCATATATATATACATTCATTCGTTCATATTCGATTTATTCGTAGCCTTAACTTTTGGTATCGTTTTATATCATGATGCCAATGAAATGTTATTGTTGGAAATGTGATTACATAATTGAAAATTAATATTATAACTCTCTCTCTCTCTCTCTGTCTCTCTCTCTCTCTATATATATATATATATATGAAAAAATTATTGATTAAATATAGATAAAGTGATGCCAACCATTAAATCTTCACAACAGACATAGATACCATCCAAAATAATATTCCATAATAATATTATAACAGATAAATGTAAGATTATAATAAAAAAAATTATAAATAAAATGCTTTTAAAAAATAAGTTTCTTATTTTTTTAATATTATCTTTCCTATTTTATGAGAATATAATATACATAAAAAAAGTTTTATTTTCAAGAATGCAATATATCAAATATGAAAACATGCTTTTCATCTATTAAAATCTGCGAGCAAATTTTACTTCAAAATGATAAATTATCAAACATAAATTAATTAATTTAATTTAATCTATTATTAAACTCAACTTGTTCAATTTTCCATTATTAGAGAGTAAAAAAGGAGGTGATTTTTGGTGAAGAAAATTGACTTCGGGACTGTTGGTCTTTGAGTCACGATTCTGTCGTATAAAATATTAATAATTCATATATTTATATTATATTTTATACAAAATTACGTATAATAATTCATATTAATAAAAAATAAAATATATATTTAAAATTTTATTAAATTTATGTATAATTTTTGTTAAAATTTTAAATTTTATTATTTTTATATTTTTTTCATATTATTTTTATATTATATTTTAAATTATCAAATTTAATTTATCTAAATTTCTTGGATGAACATGCTTTTGCTTCCATTTCAAAACCCTCCAATGGGGAAACTTGGTAGGTTGGGGTCAAATTAAATAAAGATAAACAGCAATTTTTTTTTTATTACCTTATGGTTGAAATTTCTAAGGAGTTGTTGAATTTTATGGTTGAAATTTCCAACCAAAACAGACAAATATCAATATGTTATTAAATATTGCCTGACTTTTTCCATGTGCTATTGAATATTTGTACTACAAAAATTTTCTTCCAAATTAATGGCAAAAAGATATAATTAATTGAACATCTGATTTTCTCTATCTTATTTATTTTCTTTACTTTCACAATATGCAGATTTTGCGTTCACATGCATAAAATTACTTGAGATTCCTTTAATTGCATCACCAAACGAAGTTTTAGCAATAAAATAGAGTTTAAATCCTAAATCTCATCTTCTAGAAGTTTAAGGCATGGGCATTGACGGATCCTTTTTATAATTTAAGGAATTTATGGACATCTTTGAAATTAAAAAATAAAAAAATTTGCACCCGCAAAATTTTTCAACGGACACTCTAAGTATTAAAAAATAAATAAAATTAAAAGGGAAATTTCCACAAATACCCTAAAGTTTTTCATAAATACCTTTTATGTTTACAAAATTAATAAATATGTCATCAGATTTATATATATATATATATATTATAAGTAAACATTAAAAAAAAAATAATCTCGAATCCACTATTGGTCATAAGATATTGATGCTTGAGACACATTAAATCCAAGCCAATTATAAATGCATGTTTGTAACTTTAGCTTAGCTTCAATGCCTATAATCATCAAACACCATTAATAGTTGCTTCTTGTTAATCTATTTTTTTTTTTTTTGAAAGAAAACTTCCAAACCCCAATGACAAATATCACTGTTTTAGCAATAATAATGACGAAAATATAAGTATCTGTATCCCATTATTGATGGTTGAGCTTATCCTAGATACAGTAAGTGAAGAATCTAGGCAAAGTATATTTTATTCAAGCAATATCCTTCTTTTGTTTTTGCTTTGGGATCCAATTAAATTTAATAATTTTAAATATGAGACATAATATAAAAATAATATAATTTAAAATTTTAATAAAAATTATAAATAAATTTAATAAAATAAAAATATATATTTTATATTTTTATATTAATACGAATTATGATAAATAATTTTTATATAAATATATAAATTATTAATATTTTATATAAAATAAATATACAAATTATCAAATTTAGTACAAATCAAACCCAGGCAACGTGCAAAAAGTTAACTAGAATACAAAGTTTTCCCCTTTAGAATGCTTCCGAGGTGTCTTCCTCAATTTTATAGCTAAAGCTTGAATTTGATAACCTGAGGGCTTTACTCATGGTCCAGCCAGGTGGCCAGGTTCAGTGTCATGAGCCAACCTTGTATAAGGTCATGACCGGGACTTAGGTTGCCATGAGCCACCCATGTATAGGGCCATGGCCGGGTAGACCCCTTGTGTTAGGAAAAGTGTCCCCATTTCAAACATTGTAACGGTTACTGGTAGCATAGCTCTAAAATCTCTAAGGCTCTTTAGGGGGGGTGAGCCGGCAGGGTATTGTTGGGCTGTCTCACCGGGTGCTATGCGAGCTTAGGCCACCCACCATGGGCTGCCCCCTGGCCCTGGTGATGGTGGGAGGTCCCGATGTATGATTCCCGATTTTAATGAAATTTGCCTCGATTGAATGCCCGATTGTTGCCTCGATGTGTTTCTTTTCTTTCTCGATGTGAATGTGCCTTGTTGTGTGTATGGATGAGATTGATATTGATATATATAGTGCCTTATTGTGAATGCTTGAGACTAACCATGGTTTATGGTTATTTGTTCAGATCTCGATCTATTGAGGGCTGACTTGGGTGGAAGCGTCCATTCAAGTGCCTCGCGGGCTAGTGCTTGTTGAGAGAAAGCTTAGTCCGTGACACGTGGTATCAGAGCACGGTTGAGAAGTGCTAGAGAAATGGATGAGATGGCCACAAGTGGTGGACCGGATCATCGGCAGAGAATTGAGGAACTTGAGGCCGCGGTGGCCGCAATGAAAACTCATATGGTAACAAAAGATCGAGTGAGGGAGATCGAGACAACCCAGCGGGAGTTGTCCGATACTCTCCACAATGTGAGCGAAGAGGCTAGAGATGCCTTGAACATTCTCCACAAGGAGTTTGAGGAGCTCAGGGCCCAGATGAGCATCCTACAAATGGCGGTGGCCAGTTCGAGTTCAAGCTCGACGGACAGGGGACAAAGGCCCAAAGTACCGGAGCCTCGGTGCTATGAGGGGGCAAGGGATGCTAAGGAACTTGAGAATTTCCTGTTCGACATGGAACAATACTTCCGAGCTGTACACACAAGTTCAGAGGAAGACAAGGTGACAATGGCATCGATGTATCTCGTAGGGGATGCCAAGTTGTGGTGGCGCTCCAAGTTTGTCGATGACGAGTGCCCGATTAAGACCTGGACGGATCTGAAGCGTGAACTGAAAAACCAGTTTTTTCGGAGAATGTGGATTATATGGCTCGAAAGAGACTTCGAGAGTTGGTGCAAATCGGAACGGTGCGAGAGTTTGTGAGGAACTTTTCTACCCTGATGCTGGATATTAGGGACATGTCCGAAAAGGACAAGTTATTCCATTTTATTGAGGGCCTCAAGCCGTGGGCGAGGACAGAGCTACAGAGGCAAAGAGTGCAAGATGTGACGACGGCCATGGCTGCAGCGGAACGTCTTCATGATTTTAATGATGGTTCGTTAAAACGGAAGAACCCTCCACCCGGGTAGTAGCTCTAATCTTGGGAGTGGGGGAAAGATAACTAGGTTGGACCGACCCTTCAGTTGGGGATCAGACAGGAGGTCCTTTGGGCGAGATAGCACCCAGCCTAGGACAAACAACGCAGGGATTTCAAGCCTAGGCAACCGCTTGCTTGCTTTCTTTGCAAGGGGCCGCATCGAGTGGCTGAGTGCCCGCACCGAGGAGCCCTTAATGCCTTAAGG